TTAAAATGACCACATTCTTTACTGGACTTGAATATTCAGAGACAAGTGGAACAAAAAATGCTGAGCAGAGAATTATGTGGTTTTATTTCACTTAGAGGAATTTACTTTAAAAATGGATACCAGGGCAGCCCGGGTGGCTCAGCCCAGGGTGAGATCCTGGAGACCCCGGGATCGAGTCCCACATCAGGCTCCCTTCATGGAGCCTGCTTCTCCCTCTGCCTGTGTCTCTGCCTCTCTCTCCTATCTGTGCATTCTCATGAATGAATAAATAAAATCTTTTTTAAAAATGGACACCAGAGTGGGGACAATGTGGGAGTCAGAAAATGCGAGAACCCAGGAGGAGGGGGAAGGTGGAAACTGGAAAATTTTTGTTCCAGTCTTCTGGTTTTTCCTGCTTTCCTCATTTGGGTAACCAGAGATAGAGTGACTACGGCCTGTCACAGACAATTGATTATGATGTCTGATCTCATTATCCCCAAGCTCTTTATCTAGATCTCCCTTTTGGCATCTATTATGTTCTGACTTGATTTGTGGTTTGGGGCATGTGTGCTATGTTCCTCCACTTGGCTTGCTAACTCATTAGCATGAGAACTGGACCTTCCATACTCCTGTGTCCTCCTGCCCTGCCCAACACAGAAACTGGCTTCCTATTAGCTTACAATATCTATTGATTATGGTAGATGGATTCATTCAAGTGGTTTTCCATTTTCTTGTCACTAGATCTATGAAATCAAAATCGTAAACATACACTGACCAAAACCAGCCTAGTGATAGGTATTTTTTTAATTTTCTAGATTTATTTCATTCTAAGAAATCAAGTCAAATATACTTTTTCCAGAGGCAAGTTAATTTAACAGTAAATAGGCTGAATGACCTAATAGTTGGAAAGAGTGAGTTAAATAAGTCTGGGGCACACCTGGGTGGCTCAGTCGGTTAGGCGTCTGCCTTCAGCTCATGCCATGATCTCAGGGTCCCGGGATTGAGCCCTGCATCAGGCTCCCTGCTCAGCAAGAAGCCTGATTCTCCCTCTCCTTCTGCCTGCCACTCTGCCTACTTGTGCTCTCTGTCTGTCAAATAAATAAATAAAATCTCTTTTTAAAAAGTCTAATTTTTTTGACTTTGTAAATACAGTTCCAGGATATCTAGCACATCTGTCAAAGGAGTGAAGGGTATTGAATATTTGTTCAAGTATTGTTGCAGTTAGTTGTTGCTTCAAAAAGGAACAATATTAGTGCCTGATGCAATAGTAATTTTTATTTCAAGACCAGAAGTTTGTAGATATGAGCTTGCTTGTTTGGTTAAGCAGCTCAACAATGCCAAAATAGTTGCCTGCTCTTTTTATCTTTCTGGTCTGCTACCTTGACTATGTTGACAGTATCTTTTCTCATGGCTGCAAGATGGCTGCTGTGGCTCCAAGCATCTAATCCTCACCAAAAACATCCCAAATGAAAGGAAGTGGTGGGGGTGGAAGGGAAACAAGAGAGCTCTATTCGTGGGCTAGGCTGGCCCCAAATGTCTTGTTTAGTTGGACAAAAGGTTAAAAGAACCACTTGGACTCAGATTGAGTTTGCTTTAACTTCCATTCACTCCAGAAGCAGCTAAAAAGTAGTGCAATAGTGCTCTAGTATGTGGGTGGGTAGAGAAGGTTCCCCATTACCTCCTTTACCCCTCATAAAGGGGATCCTGAAACTCAGCAGTCTTGGCAGGTGACACAGAATGACACATCTGCCAGGTGACTGGAGAACAGCATTTTTCATCCACTACATTTTATAACCTCAGCCATGTTGGCATGCAGACAACTCAAAATGCCAGTAAGACAGGAAGTTTGCTATTCAACCCACCGTGGCACTCGGATCTAACGAGTGGGTTTGGAGACTTGAAAATTTTTCAGGGTCTGCCCTAGAATGATCTCTCCCTCTCCATGGAAGCTAGTTCACCTTTTATGTCTTGGAATTAACCTCTTATATCTGAAGGTTTAGTAGCAACTGAGTTGGGGAACAAGGGAGTGAGGACTTTGGATCCAAGGAACAATACATGTAAAGCCATGTTGGTACAACACAGTACAATCTTTTCAGGGCACTGGCAGTGATGGAGTAGCTGGAGGACAGTAGCTGGGAAAGGAATGGGAAGAGATGAGACCCAAGGGAGCTGGGAGTCACCGGCATGCATGAGGATTCATGCAGGTAAACACATTGTGCCAAGAGAGTTCAGAGGAGGGTGGCTGGGCCAAGAAAGGCTTGTCTACAAGTCTTAGATCCGGGTTCAGTACAAACCCAATGGTCAGCCAGGACCCAGGGGTATGGATGTACAGGCGAATTATGCCTGTGCCATCCCAGGTCTTAAATATTGTGAATATTGCCTCTACTCTGGAGGGGTTGGTGAAGGATTCCCAGACAGAGAAGAGGACATGGGCTTTCCAAGGAGAGCTTGGAAAAGGTCATCAGAAAAGGAAGAGCTGGAAATGCACAGAGTGGGTGATGCCAAAGTCGTGGAGGGGCCAGACAATGAAAGGGTTTCAGTGGCAGGCAAAGAAGTCCGCGCTCTATCACGTACGTCTTTAGTAATATTGAAGAGGGTAGACCCAATCCCGCGCATCCAATCATCCCCTGCAAAAATAAACCGCTAACTCCGCCCTAAGATCCAGGACCCTTTTATCTCTTAGTGGGCAGGGCTTTTGAGAAGTTAGGGGGTGGGGGTGAGACCAAAGACTTGGCAAAATAATTTATTTCTCTTTAAAAGAGGGAGAAAGAAAGGAAAAAAGGAAAGGAAGAAAGGAAATGGAGGGAGGGAAAAATGGAGAAAGGGAATAAAAGAAGAGGAACAAAGAAAAGAAGGAAAGAAAAGGGCAGTGGAAACCAATATGGTGAAACTGACAGATTTGTCAAGGTTGGATAATGGATACAGAGATTATTTGCCATTATGCTTATTGACTTATATGCATCGCCACTTGAGATATTTTTTTAGAAAGGAATACAGGTGGAAATGTGAATACCTAATCCTTTCTCTGCAAAGCTTTTAGACATATATCAAAACACCTAAAAATTCTTATTTTTGACCCAGTAGTTCCATGCCAGGACATGCTGATGAAGATTTATACACAAGAAATTTATTGCTTCAAGTGCAGTGACAACGTGTTTATCTCGTGGGGGTGGGGTGGGGGGAGATGTGCTAAATTAACTTCCCAAATAAACAAATGAGCTATTTCAAAGGAAGTCTTCCCCAAAGACCTTGTACCTGTCCTGGTACAATGAGTAGAGTATTCTGAAACACAACTAAACTTGTTCTTGATGCTGTCTTATTAATATAATTAGCAATCAAAGTACATGTTAATAAATTCATTGATCCAAAAAGCTGTTGAGGTGTGAGGGGCTTTTTGCCTCTACACACTATTCCCATAGACCGCTCCTTTCTCTTTCTCTTTGTTCTTCTGTTCCCTTTACAGTTGGCTGTCATTTCTCATTCTTCACCTGAACACTTATTAGAAATCATCCATCTAGTCAGAATAAAACACAACAAAACCAAAACCAGATAACTAAGTTTGTAGACATGGCATCTAAAGTAAACCTTTGGGCAGCCCTGGTGGCTCAGCAGTTTAGCGCCGCCTTCGGCCCAGGGTGTGATCCTGGAGATCCAGGATTGAGTCCTACGTCGTCGGGCTCCCTGCATGGAGCCTGCTCCTCCCTCTGCCTGCGTCTCTGCCTCTCTGTCTCTCATGAATAAATAAATAAACAAACAAATAAATAAATATTGAAGATATCTAAAAAAATAAAAAATAAACCTTTGTCTGAACAAAGGCCTGTTGGCATATCTCCAGCTAACTGGTGGCCTTTTTAAATATGTTTTTTCTTGGGTCCAACCTCAACTCCTCTTAATAAGAATCTCTGAACTCTGCAAGCACTTCATGTAATTCTAATGAATATTAAAATTTGAGAATCATTGCCTTACGGATGTTTCCTATGAAAAACGATTCTGGGCAGCCCCGGTGGCCCAGCGGTTTAGCGCTGCCTTCAGCCCAGGGTGTGATCTTGGAGACCTGGGATCAAGTCCCACATCAGGCTCCCTGGACGGAGCCTGCTTCTCCCTCTGCCTGTGTCTCTGCCTCTCTCTCTCTCTGTGTGTGTGTCTCTCATGAACAACTAAAATCTTAAAAAAAAAAAAGAAAGAAAGAAAAACATATTCATGAACTTAAAGCCATATATACACAGAGCCAAAGGGTTGTCTCAACCATCAGACTGTGTGTAAGGCTGGATGTGTTCAGGAGTCAGGTGACTTGGTACCTGAGCCATGCCAGGTGCTAAATATTCTGAAAATCAGAGAATGATTAGTGACTTCTATTTTTTGAACTTGGATCCCTGGGGGTGGGGGCATTAGATGAAGTTTACTTCCTGAGCCTGTCTTCAGGTTAGCTGAGATTTCTGACAAGTGGCCCTTGGATAATTAACATCTGGTCTCATGACCTGAGGAGAAATAGTGTAATAGTTACTCATATTTTCCACATATGAGACCGTCTTCACAGAGTGATTGTCTTTTATAGACAAAATAATGCATTTCTCAGAAATAAATGAAATTGGCTACACCCTCTTATTATGACTTAACTCTCTGGGACTGAACACGTATTAGTTGATATTATGCTCAACTATAGTAAATTTCAACATATTTACTGTACCCTTAGCTATTTTGATTAAAATGCTCAAACCATGTTTTTGTATGTTCGTTTTAAAAAAGTCATAAAAACAGTATATACATCTACTGCTTCTTTAAAGAGAACATTTGCAGATTCTTACCCTGCATTTTAAGACTCCAAATGTCTTAATTATGCTGGTGGTCAACTAAACTAAACAGACATGCACTAAAAGGATAATGGAACATGAATACCACATTTAGAAGTGTCTTAGTACCAGTCACAGCCTCAAACAACAGCAACAAAAAACCACTCCAGAATGAAAATACTGGTATATTTGTATAATGCAAAGAGAAATACAGATATAAATCCTCAAAACGGAAGGTACATTAATAAAAATGTAGCATCATAAGCAAAAAATATTATACAGTACTTGCAGAATTTAGTCTTTCCATTTAAGATTACAATGTGTCTAACAAATATTTAAAATTATGGTTGTCATTATTAATTTAAAATATCCATCAGATGAACAGCACAGCTTAACCTAGCAAACATTTTAAGGAAATGCTTTGTCTTGTAGAAGTAGAGTATCATTATATTCCATTCATTTATACCATGAACAAAAGAACACTTTTCAAAGTGGAAATTAGTTTCTTAAGACAACAAAACTGGGCTTCTCAAAGCACAAGCTGTTTCCATAAATGTATTTTAATTTTCATTGGCAAAAAAAATACCTAAGCAATTCTGATTTAGTACTCTGCTTCTCAGAGCCTTCCCATTCCGTGAACCACAATCAGTACAAAAACATGCAATACTGTATTTTCTCCACACCATCACTAACCAAAACACTTTTACTCTTTTAAAAGTTACAATTTTACAGAAATGTTTCCACTCAAGATTGGTATAATACAGAGAGCAGTTGTTGATGTGTATTTTATAGTAGTAGAAAGTAAGGTAGGAAACAAATCCTGTTACTGCTTTAGAAACACTGCCTTGCTACTTTACACTCCCATTTCTGCTCTTTAAGTTCATCATCAATTACCGAACAAAGTTTTCGACACTTTCAAAGTACCAGACCTGACTCCACGGCCGCTGGCAACTCAGAGGAAACTCAAGACAATCTCCCCCCTTCCTCCTGCTTTCCAACAGAAGACCCTCAAGAAATCGAACTCGTGAAGTCCCGCCTAGGTTCCTCTACTTCACTGCAAAATGTAATGCCACTTGAGGTTGTCAAAAATAGCTTCTGTAGAAAACTGGCCATGGTCTTTAGGAAACGTTGCATGAAGAAAATTAGTTTAGCCTTTATTTAAAAAAAAAAAAAGGAAAGAAAGAAAGAAAAGAAAGAAAGAAAAGAAAAAAAGAAAAAAGAAAAAAGAAAAAAGGGGGGTGTGTGTGGGAAACACATGGAATAAAGGACGTCAGTACCAGTACAAAGACTCCAAGGCCTATTGTCAGGATGAAAATATACTTAGTAAGACAAATGCACGGAGCTGGGGTGGGGCTGGAACATTGAAACCCATCCCTCCCCCCAGTCCACCCCCCCCCCGAAAAAAAAGTAGTCTGTACAGTCCAAGTGCTTATGCACTTTGGAGAGTCATTTTGAAGGCAGCTTAGAAAATTAATTAAGGGGGCTAGAAGAGGGAGCAACGACATCACGGTCCGAGCCAAAAGGGAAAGGCGGGGTGGGTGGGTGGGTGGAGGGAGGGAGGGAGGGAGGGAGGGACACCCCCTTTCATAAGCCGATGCCTTTCAAATCGCAGGGGAGGGTGGCCTGGGTGGTCTGCGGGCTCTGGCAGCAGGGGAACTGGGCCCTGAAGCAGTCCCTCAGCTCCCTGTTGAAGAGGAAGCACACGACGGGGTTGATGCCGGCCTGGGCGAAGGTGAGCCACACGGAGGCCGTCAGGTAGGCCTGGGGGACGGCGCCGGGCCGCACCAAGACCCGCAGGTAGCTGGCCACGACGTAGGGCCCCCAGAGCAGCAGGAAGAGCAGGGTGACGGCGTAGAACATCTTGCACAGCCTCTTCTCGGTCTTGAACTCCTCCAGCACGAGGAGGCGGCGCGCGCCGCGGCCGGGCCCCGCGGGGCGGATGCCCACGAGCGCGGGCGGCGTGGGGCCGCGGCCGAAGCCCGCCGTCCAGTTGGCGGCCGCCTGGCCGGTGGCGCCGGGGCCGTGGAAGGTCCAGTCGTGGCTGACGGCGGGCACGAGGCGCGCGGGCCGCATCTTGCGGCGGTCGTGGATGAAGAAGAGCAGGCGGAGGTAGACCAGGTGCGTGGCGCCCACCACCACGGCCAGCAGCAGCAGGAAGCCGAGCGCGCCCGGGGCGCCGTCGGGCCGCTGCTCCAGGGCGCAGGGCGCGTCCTCGTCGTCGCCGCCGCCGCCGCCGCCGCCGTCCAGCACGGGCGGGAAGGCCGCGGCCAGCGCCAGCGCCCAGGCGGCGCACACCAGCATCGCGGCGCACGGCCAGCCGGCCAGGCGCTCGGCGTAGAAGCGGTGGTGCGCGATGGCCAGGTAGCGGGTGACGCCCACGCCCAGCAGCAGGAAGGCGGCGTGGAAGCAGAAGAGCGCGGCCAGGAAGGCCAGCAGCTTGCAGCCCAGCGCGCCCGGCGGCGCCCCCGCCGCGGCCGCCGCGCGCCTCGCCGCCAGCATGACGGCCGGGAGGCAGGCGAGCGCGCGCAGCCCGTCGGCCAGGCACAGGTCGAGCAGCAGGTAGTACGGGGCGCGGTGCAGGCTGCGCTCCCGCACGATCAGCAGCGCGAACAGCACGTTGCCCGCCAGGCTCACGCACAGCAGCAGGCTGAGCGTGGCCAGCTTGAGGCCCAGGGCGGCCGCCTCGCCGCCGCCGCCAACGCCGCCGCCGCCGCCCGGCTCGCTGGCGTTCGCCATCGCGGCCTCCGCAGGCCGTGCGCTCCGCCGCGGGGTCGCTCCGGGCCTCGCCGCTCCCCGGGGCCGCGCGCGCGCCGGGCTCCTCCGCCGCCGCCGCCGCCGCCGCCGCCGCCGCCGCCGCCGCGAGGGGCCCGCGGGCGAGCTCCCGGCCGGCCGGGCTCAGCCCGCGCCCCGCTGGCCCCTCCCGGGCTCCCCGAGCCGCCGCCGCGCTCCCGCTCCCGCTCCCGCCGCCGCTCCCGCTCCCGCCGCCGCCGCCGCCATCTCAGCAATGATGCGCGCAGGAGGCGGCGGCCACTCCCTGCACCCCGGGCGCCGCGGGCTTCACTGCGGACAGGGCCGCGCCGCCGCCCGCAGCCCCCCGCATCCTCCGCCGCCGCCGCCGCCGCCGCCGCCGCCGCGCCTCTAGGCTCTGCCCCCCGCCGGGCCCGCCGCCGCCGCCGCCGCTCCGCCGCTCCCGCTCCGCTCCGCCGCCGAGCCCCCTCCCCTCCGCCGGAGCGCGCAGCGTGGCCGCCGCCGCCGCCGCCGCCGCCGCCGCGTCCGGGCCGGGCCGGGCTATAGCCGCGGGGCCGGGAGGGAGGCAGGGCCCAGGACGCAAGGCGGCGGCGCCCAGTCGCGTCTGGCCCCCCAGGTAACGGGGGTCCGGCGGCGGCGTCCGGCGTCCGGCGCCCGCGCTGGGGTCACGGGGGCCGCGCGCAGGGGGAGGTGGCCAGGGCGGGCAGGGTCGGGAGGCCCCCCGGGGCGGGGGCGGGGGCGGGGGCGGCGGGAACCGGGGGCCGAGCCGTCCGCCCGCCCGCTAGTGATGGGCAGCAGCGGCCGGTACCATCGCAGTATCCCGTGGCCGCTGCCGTTCAGGTGAGCGCTGACGTGGGGGGGGAGGGGGAGGAGGAAGGGGGGGCGGCAGTTTGCTGGGGGAGCTTTACAAGCGTTATTTCCCTGACGTTCGTTCACAGTCACCGCAAAGTTGGTCCCATTCGTAGCATCACTTGGACACCCGAGGGCGCAGAAGCTCGGGGGGTGGGGGGGTGGGGGGCTCCCGGGAGTTGAGAGCCAGTAAGCGGGCCCGGGCTGGGATTCAGATTTCACCAGGTCTGATGTCCGGGGCCGGACTCCCAGCGACGCTGCAGCGCGCCCTGGCTCTGGGCCTCACCTGTGGTCCCCGGGAAGAATTACATGGCAGGGGACAGACATTCAGCATTTTCTCCGAAGTGCATTGGAAGGTGCACCCCGTGACACCTTCCCGCCCCCCCTCCCCCCCAACGGGAGTCTGTTTTCTGGATGATCCTGAAAGGGCAGCCCCTGTTCCCATCCTGAAACACACCGGACCCTCTCAAGGCTTTGCACGTGCCATTCCCTCCGCCTGGTCCAGCCCCACAGCAGGCTTCCCACGGTGTGGGCCGTCCTTCTGACCAGTCCGCCCCCTTCCATATCCCTGCCTGCTCATTTTCTTCAGAGCCCTTATCGTTTATCATTTCATAGTTTTATTTATTTTTTTAAAAAAATTCTCTCCTTCCAATCAGTCTGTAAGCTCCATGAAGGCAAGTGACCATGTTTGGGTTTTTTTTTTTTTTTATACTACTGAATTCCCCAGCCTAGCAAAGTCAGAATCAAGGAATATGTTGTTTCCCAGGTACACTCTTTTTTTTTTCTTTTATGCAGAGCATTACTTATTGTCCACCTACTGTGTGCACCCCTTGCAATTTCATGGGCATTTCCAAGACAACATAAGATCATAGAAGGCCTCGGCCATCAGGCCTAAGGAGTCTAAATTTCAGTCCAGGCAGTGAGGTGACCTGAAGTGTTCCAAGAAGAGTGACATTGTTAGAGCTGTGCTTCAGGAAGATTCTGGTAGCAGTAGTGCTTAATTAAGAGGAAGGACAGGGTAGAGCTTGGAAACAGGCTCAGAGCCCCAGACTTTAATGTGCACAGAAGTCACTGGGATCCTGTTAAAATGCAGATTCTGACTCAGTAATTCTGGGATGGAGACAGAGATCTTGCAATTCTGACAGGTTCTTAGGTGACACTAATGCTACTGGTCCACACACCACACTGAGTAGCAAGGACCGTGAGGACAGTTTAGACCTTTTGTAAAAACAAGTGATGACCAATGACAGTCTGACTTAGGATCCCTCAAGGGCGGGGGGGGGGGGGGGGCGGCATCCCTCCAGCTGAGATGCACAAGGAACAAGTGGGTGGCTGACCAGGTAGGTCTGCAAATATTTGTTGGCAGAAAAGAGAAATAGATTATGGAGGATATTTTGGTTAGGAATTGGATTTTGATAATGGTAGCTTAAATGTGAATGTGCATTTATTTTCCTCATGAAACAAGAAGTTCAGAGGTCAATGGTTGCTGGCATTGAATTATTGGCTCTAGGACTGAATTTCTGAAATGCTTTTAGCCCTTCCCTTGTGATCAATAAGCTGCTGACACTCCAGCCATTGCTTCAGCATTCCAGGCAAAAACAAAGGAAAAGAAAGAAAGTGTAAAAGTGATCCTGCCATCTAAGTAGGCTCCCTCTGAAGAGCTTTTTAGAAGTCCTCTGTTATAACAAACACATCATTGATAGTAGGTCAATCATGGTAGGTCCTACCACTAGCAGGAAGGGAGATTGAGAAATTGTTTTTGTTGCTGCTGCTGTTGGGTTTTTTTAAAAAACGATTTTATTTATGTATTTATTCACGAGAAAGAGAGAGAGAGAGGCAGAGAGACATAAGCAAAGGGACATAAGCAAAGCAGAGGCAAAGACAAAGCAGGCTCCGCACGGGGAGCCTGATGCTGGACTCTATCTCAGGACCCTGGGATCTTGCCCTGAGCCAAAGGCAGACGCTTAACCACTGAGCCACCCAGGCACCCCTATTATTTTGTTTTTTTAAAGCCAGAAACGTAGCCAAGAATGGGATCCTGCCTTGATACGGACCTTAGCACTTGGGCTACTTCTGCCCCGAGGAAGGGATGGATGCCTTCTTAAAACCCAAACAAAGACAGCGAATTTGGTTCCTTTATGGCAATATTAAAGGCAACCTCGGTTTACTGTTTGCTATGTGCTGTGCACTGTGTTGATTTCCTGACGTGTGTTATTTCATTTAATCATTTTAAGGGCCAAATGTAGTAGGTACTGTGACAGCTCATTTTGCAGATGAGGCAGACAGGTTAAGTAATTTGTTCAGGAATCACATACCTGTGACGGGATTGGGAGGCGGAGTCTGACTCTCAGAGCCCAAACTCATAACTTTGATACATATTGCCTCTTTATCATAACTGCAAAGAAAGTTATTGAGTTTCTAGAAAGAAGAACAAGCAAGAACCACCAACATTCATGCTCACAGCATTATAGCCCCTGCAGAGAGGAAAGGACTTTTCAAAACCATCTGATCCAATGCTTTCATTTTATAAATAGAGTCACATTAATGGCTAAGTGCAAAGGAGAATCTGAGTCTTTTTACTCCTAGGTCAATACCCTTCCTGCTTACTTGAAATCATAATATTATTTGTCTTAATGAACACATGACTTTGGACTCACTTCACTTCATGGAATCTGAGCTATTGACATTTACAAAATCAGACAGTGGATCAACTGATTTCAGAGCTTTGTCAGCAATGACGTTCAGTGCATCTATGAGAAAAATGAAAGTTAAATGTTTATATAATCCCAAATGCGGAGAGTTTATTCTTCAGAAAAGGGACCTTCATCTCTTATAATTTAGATTTCCTGGTGTTTCCTTCTTCTCCCTGTGGGTTCAGTATGCTTCTTTTTGGGATTTGAGATTTGGTTTAGTCATTTGCCCAGGATCAAATAGCAGAAGCAGCAAAAGAAAATACATAAATCATGGCTCCCACAGCATTTATATGACTGCTGCTTTCATTCTCAACATTTGTTCAGTAGATTAATACTTAAGGGAAAACTATTAACATTTTATTGCCAGAATCAACTTATTTTCCTTTTATTGTTTCTAGGAAGCATCAGACAAGAATTTAAAATAGTTTCTTAGGCACGGGCTTAAGTTCCTGCATCTCAGAACAGCTCTATGAGATTTTTCTCTACAAGCAAAATGTTTGTTTTGCTTATAACCAAATTCTTCCTTTTGTACATAGATAGAAAAGTTGAGATTTTACCCCCAAATCCACCGTGTCACTTCTTTTGCTACACATGTAGATGGTGTCAATGGTAATGGACATCCAGACCGTTGGGAGGAACTGGTTGACCCATTTTGACAAATACAGTCAAAGCCATGGGTCTCATTGTCAAGAGAGCCAATTTGACTCTCGTCTCTTGTCCAGCCTCAGGCCCCTGGCCAGTCGTCTCGCAATGGGTGCATCAAACACCAACTTAGAGAAGACTGGTTTGACTTAACCCCATCGTAACTCTGAGAAAACATGAGCCAGAGTCTATATCCAATGGATGTTGGGTTATCAAAGGATGACACTCACATTAGCCTCTCTGTGGGAGGGAGATGTAACTTCAGCAATGAAAATGGACCCGGAGTTAGTGTGCCTTGGTTCATATCCAAGTCCCGCACATTGCTAGTGTGCATCCTTAGCCACGTCCTTTGCCGTCTTTAAATCTCTGAATCTCAGAGGCCTGTTGTGAGGAAGATTCCACTAAATGCAAACCATTTACAAGGAATATAGCACATGGTGTGCGCACAGGTGATGTGTAATGAGTGACTACTACAGTTATTCTCATTTGCTCTTACTAGACTATAAATGCCTTGGCTAACCATGTCTTGATTAACTTCTATATTTTCTTCCCCGACTTAGACTAACAGGATGCCCTATACATAGTGGGTTCTCAGTATTTGTGTGGCAGGTATGAATGTCAGTCTATAAAATCAAGGGCACAAGAACTGTAACTGCTTCCTAGAAACCTAATTTCTGACTCTGAGTTACTATTTTGCCTTGTTGGTAGGGAAAGAAAATGTAATCTTATAAGTGCTTCTTGGGTTTCATCATGGCCCCTTGCTTCTTCAGATGTTCCATAGTTCCACGGTAGTGCCCAGACTGC